CCTCCGATCAGCATGGTTGGCTATGTACGGTGCGAAATAAGTTCAACATACATTAGCATTCTCCTGCTGTATCAAAGCAGGAGAATGCTAAATTCTCCTGCTTTGATACGTAAACTCCTTTGTCAAGACGTTCCATGCCTCTCACCGAGCTTAAAAGACACTCATTATATAGTGTAGTGTATACTCAGCTGCTTTGTGATTAATAGCCCAGCTTATTGAAGAATATATTAAGTACATTTATTATATTATGTAATATAGACTTAGTTCTTTTCACATAGGTTTACTGTATGAAAGTTGGGTAGTTGGAGGCCTTTAGCGTCCATATAGTAAATGCCTCTGTTGATAGGTAAACTTTGACTTTAACATAGCTATTTCTGTCACAAGCTAATCCCTCAGCTATTTCAATGCTAAATTCTCCTGCTTTGATACTTAAACTCCTTTGTCAAGAGGTTTCACGCCTCTCACCGAGCTTAAAAAGACGCTACGAATCTTAACAACGTTCTTTGGAGCACTGTCGTCCCGACAGTTCTATTCTTTCACCTGATGAAGGCTACTTGTGTTGTGGCCGAAACGTCGTGAGAATTTTATTGTCTTATTTTTTTTATTATTTCATTCTCATTCTACGTGACTTTACCGAAAGAACCAAAGAAGATGAATCCTTGCAGTCACGAAAGGTTTAAATCGAGTTGTAGATAGTACATGTGTTTGTTTGTTTGTGTACGTGTCAGTGCAATACGTGTTTGCAATGCGCGTGTCACTGGACACCCTTGCAAATGAGACGTTCAATCTGAAATGATAACGCAGGTGAAATCGTTTTAAGAAATGAAACTGCAATGCAACACAGGGGGGGGGGGGGCTCCGCCCACACATGTCGAACCACGCCTCCAGCAGTCACGGGAGAACGTTACTCCTAACGGGTAGAAGTGCAGTCATTCTCAAACTTGCCCCAAGGGCAACAGATCCTGACAACACGGGGAGTGGCACAGTGTGCGTGTGCGGAGGTGGGATGTGTGTGTGTGTTTGTGTGGAGGTGGAATGTGTGGAGGTAGGGCATGTGTGGAGGTGAAATATGGGTGGAGGTGAAATATGTGTGAAGGTGGGTCGTGTGGAGGTGGGTCGTGTGGAGGTGGGTCGTGTGTATCTTTGTGTGTGCGTGTGGGGTGTGTGGAAGTACTGAGTGTGTGGAGGAGGTAGGGCATGTGTGGAGGTGAGGTGTGTGTTGCAGGTAGTGTGTGGACGTTGCGTTTGTGTGTGTACGAGGAAGTAAGGTTGTGTGTGTGGCGATGGGGAGTATGGAGGTAGGGTATGTGTGACTGTGTGGTTTTTGTGGAGGTAGGCTGTGTGTAATGTGTAAACATCGCCACTGGGGAGACAAAGGCGACCGAGCGTGGTGTTGGAAAATCGGGTGCCGTGCCGACCTTCATAGGTGCTCGCTAACAGCACTTGCCCCAAGAGTCTGTTTAGGCTATAGGCGGAATCATTGACCTTGTGTGTGTGTGTGTGAAGGTGGTGGGTGTGTAGCCATACTTGTATGCCTACAGGTGTTACGAGTGACTGTGTTTCTGGTGAGATATACTGTACGTGCAAAGGTGTGTGAATAAGAAAAGTATGCCAGTATGCACCCGTACGCAATGATATAAATGTCAGTATATGTGAGTATGAATACAGCAGTTGTATCTACACTATGTGGGCATGCATATACGTGTGTAGTAACTGAGGTCTGCGGCTGTGTGCACGAGTGTGTCCCTACTGTGTGGATATGTGTGTCAACATGGTGATCCATTTGTAGATAACTCTTTTCTTTCCAATGGTTGGTTGAATGTTGTCAAAGTGACGTCTCGCTATCTTACGGATTACAAAAAAAATGTGGCGATGCTGCTGCAGCTGCTGCTGCGTTGCCAGTGGTGCACCAATAACCATAAACTCAACATTGGTCAAAAACACTGTGACCTTAAATAGATATATAGTACATAATAGGAAGGATGCCCTGGTGGTCCCTCTCTTTAAGAAGGGGGACCGCACAGACTGTAACAACTACAGGAGCATCTCACTCCTCAGTGTGCCGGGAAAGGATTATTCAACATCGCCTTGCCAGGCACGCTGAGGAGAGGCTTGCGGAGCCCCAATGCGGTTTCAGGAAAGGACGGTCCTGCACAGATGCCATATTTTCTGTCCGTCTGCTACAGCAAAGATGTAGGGAATTCCAACAAGACCTACATCTCTGGTTTATTGACTGGCCAAGGCCTATGATACCATCAGTAGGCCTGGGCTGTGGATTGTTCTCCGTGCTTTCGGAGTCCCTGACCCGCTGCTCACGATCATTAAAGACCTTCATGATGCTGAGCGGGCTCAGGTAAAACTACGTGGCCGGGAGTCGGAGCCATTCCCTGTACACCTTGGGGTGCGACAGGGATGTCCTCTGGCTCCCACATTATTTAACATTTATTTCGACCACGTAGTTCGTGAAGCCTTCATTAGCTGTGCCGGAGGAATTTCCATCTGGTACAGATACAATGGGAGGCTGATCGATGCCTGGGTGCGGTCAAGGGATGGCTCCCTATTGCTCAACCATGTTATGTATGCCGATGATCTGGTAATTGCTGCTCACACATAGAAGGAGTTGGAGGTGCTGCTGCTGAACCTACTGCTTGCCACTAAGAGGTGGGGTCTTACCATCAGCCCCACCAAAACTAAGCACCTGCCTGGATATTTTGTACCATTGGACACTCCACCCCCACAACTCCCAATTTGTGATAGGGCAGTTGTGGAGAGAGTGGAATTTCCCATACCTGGGCAATCTGCTCATGACCGGCTCCGGTTTAACAGCAGAGGTCTCACTCCGAATCAGTCGAGCGGCATTATCTTTTCATCGGTTGCGTAACGCTGTGTGGAAGCTACCTGGTCTGTCGTTCCGCACGAAGCTTCAGGTCTTCTCAGCCAGTCATTCCCTCCCTTCTCTATGCTTGCGAAACGTGGACTCCCCTAATGGAACATCTTCGCCGGTTCGAAACATTTAGGCTGGCCTGCCTACGATACATCCTGGGTTTAACCAGGCTGGATTGTGAGGAGCTCACAAACACTTGAAAGATCTGGACAAAGTCCCATCGGTGAGTTCCTCTGGCAGGCAAGGCTGCGTTGGCTGGGTCATGTAGCCCGCATGCCCAGCCACCGCATGCCTAAACAGCTTTTGTTTGGACGGATCGAGGGGGCTAAACGGGCACGGCACGGGCTAGAGAGGAGATGGAGTGATGTGGTACAGGAGGATGTGGAGCTGAGTGGACTTGCCGATGACTGGTACCAGCAGTGTTAAGATCGGCCTCTATGAAGGAGGCTCGTGAAGGACGCGACTGTGCAGTTGGAGGCAGTCGCCCTCCAACAACAACGGAGGGCGGAGGAGCGACGCTCACAACGAGCAGAGCGCCGGGTGGCTAAAGCAAAGCAAATTGTCACAGTAGGGGGCACAGGTGGTGCATCAGCCAGTCATCTCAGTCATCTCAGTCAGTCAACCCGTGGCACCTGGGTCTGTCCCGTGACCTCGTGCCAGTGGGCGTTCCACACTTCACGTGACCTCAACGTGCACAAAGCCTGGCACAAGCGTCGTGGTGACGTCACCACCACTTAGTGGCGAATGGCGGTTGTTGTTTTATGTACGTGTGTATCCATACACACGTACGTGCGTGCGTGTATCGGTGTACATGTGTGACAACCGATGTGATGAGTACATCGGCACGGAATTGGCATGGCACTGCATATTGGGGTGTGCATCCTTCTATGGTTTGAAACTCATCTATGTACAATGAAGAAGGGCCATTGCACGAAACGTCACCTAATTAGTATTATATGTACTCCCCCCCCCCCCGTCTTTTAAGGCCACGGGTGTTAACGACGAACGTCTTGGGAGTTTTGTATTTTAGTGCTTTTGCACCACTGCCAATGCAGCAGCAGAAGCAGCAGCATCACCATCCGATACGGACAGCACCCACCACGCAAAGACAAAGACCCCCCCCCTTACCCCACCATACAGCCTTCACATACTGTTGGGGCAAGTGCATTTAGCGAGTAGCAGCCCCAATACAACGGCCGGCACGCCACACGAGTTGGATGGGTGGCCAGCACCACGCCCGGCCGCCTTTGTCTCCCCCAGTGGCGATGTTTTTTTTTTTACACACCGCACCAGGTAACTCATTTGAGGTTGAGTCGACCTAGGGGGAGCCCCAGGCCCGGTTCAGATATATCGCCACCGGTATTGGCCGTGAGCGCGGGAATCGAACTCTGGTTGCCAGGTTCGTAGCGCAGCGCGCTAACCGCTACACCACCGCTCCCCACTGCCAGCACCACAAAGACAAAGAGCCCCCGTATAGCCTTAATAGACTGTAGGAGCAAGTGCTGTTAGCGAGCACCTATCAAGGCCGGCATGGCACACGAGGGGATGGATGGCCAGCACCATGCCCGGCCGCCTTTGTCTCCCTAGTGGCGATGTTTACACATCGCAGCAGGTACTCATTTGAAGCAGAGTTGACCTAGGGGAGGCCCAGGATCGGTGAAGATAGTCGCCGGGTTCGTAGCGCAGCGCGCTGACCGCTACACCACCGCTCCACACAAACAGAGACACACACAGACACACACATGCACACACACACACAGAGAAACACACACACAGAGGCACACACACACACAGACACACACAGACACCCACACACACACAGAGACACACACACACACACAGACACACACACAGACACACACACATACAGAGACACACAGACACACACAGAGACACACACAGACACACACACACAGACACACACACAGACACCCACACACACACAGACACACACAGACAGACACACACACAGAGACACACACACACACAGACACACACACACAGACACACACACAGAGACACACACAGACACCCACACACACACAGAGACACACACACACAGAGACACACACACAGACAGGCAGGCACAGGTGCGACACCTGTGCCCGAGCCTCACCTTGGGCATCACCACCGCTGGTCAGCACGCCGATAGCCTTGCCCGCGCCCGAGAGGCTGTCGAACACCCGCTTGTCCGGCTCGGCCATTGCCGCAGCTGGCGCCAAGAAGCTTCGCCCCCCTTTTAGACGTTCCGTGTCATGGCACAAAGACAAACGATGGGACAACGACGATGGTTAACGATTGGCCCGTGCAGAGAGCTAGGAGCAAGTGCTGTTTGCGAGCGCCTATTAATTAAGGCAGGCACGGCACTCAAGAGATGGCTGGACGAGGTTTTGGGGGACGGGGATCAGAGGGGGTGGACCCGCACCACTTCCGGCCGCCTTTGTCTCCCCAAATGCTGATATTTATATACACACAGAGAGAGAGAGACGTAAGGGTGTGTCCACAACTCGAGGAGGGGGGGGGAAGAGACCCAGACATGGTGCCGGAGAGAGAGGTAGAGGTGATCGCCACTGATGCTGGCCGTGAGCGGGGAATGAGTCTCGGATCGTCACCCTGACAGGGGAGGGGGGGGGTTCGTGAACGCACGCAGCGCGCTAACCATTGGGCCACCGCTCCTCCGGTGTGCGTTGTACAGAGAGAGGGGGGAGAGGAAGACGACGTGGTTCATGAACGTTTATTATTATTATTCAGTCGCCGTGTTGGAGGCAGCAACTAGACAGGAAGACGGTGGTGGTGGTGGCGGTAGCGGTGGGAGGACCGTGCACACGCTGTGTATGTATCATCACACAGCAGTGTGTGTGTGTAACATACATACACACACTGTGTGTGTGTAACATACACACGTGTGTGTGTGTAACATACATACACACTATGTGTGTGTAACATACATACGTGTGTGTGTAACATACATACACACTATGTGTGTGTAACATACATACACACGTGTGTGTATGTATGTTACACACACTGCTATGTGTGTAACATACATACAAACGTGTGTGTAACATACGTGTGTAACATACACACACGTCTGTGTGTGTATGTAACATACATACATACACACGTGTATGTAACATACATACATACGTGTGTGTGTGTTACATTACATACACACGTGTGTGTGTTACATACACACGTGTGTGTGTGTTGTCCATCATGGGGAGCGGTGGTATAGTGGTTAGCGCGCTAACCTGGCGACCGCGGTTCCGATTTCCCGCTCACGGCCAACACCACCGGTGACGATTTTATCCGAGCCAGTCCTGGGCCTCCCCCCCTAGGTCGACTCGGCCTCAAATGAGTTAACCTGGTCCCGGTGTGCGCTAAACATCGTCACTGGGGGAGAGACAAAGGCGGCCGGGCGTGGTTGCTGGCCACCCACCCTCCTCGTGTGCCGTGCCGGCCTTAATAGGTGCTCGCTAACAACACTTGCCCCCCTACAGTCTGCGCACGGCTATCGGGGTAAATCGTTGTCTTTGTACGCGACCGAGAGATAACATTCATACACGGGGAGTGGGGCGACTCACTCGGTTAATTCACACCAAAATGTATCGTACGGAAGGTGACCAGCGGGCAAAGGTAAGAGTCGCGTTGTGCCGCGTTAGAGAACGTGACGGCATGGAGACAAGAGGGGGGAGAGATGGAGAGAGAGTGATGGAGAGAGGGGAAGAGAGTGATGGAGAGAGGGGAAGAGAGTGATGGAGAGAGGGGGGCGATACGTACACAGACGTCCTGTAACAGGCAGCAGCAGCAGCAGGAGGAGGAGGAGGCGGCAGTGGCAGAGCTCTCACTCCGTGTCACACTCGGGAGTCTCCGTGTCCCCGCCCACTTGAACGGCAACGCCGCCTCCCTTCGTCGTCTCCTCCTCCTCCTCTTCCTCCTCCTCCTCGTCGTCGTGGTCGTGACGCGCGCGGGGAGACGTCGTCATAGCCTTGCCATCCTCCCTCCCGCTCTGCGGTGCTCTCCCCCCCGACTCACCCCCGATCCCACCCCTCCTCCCTCTTCCCTCCCCCCTAGCCCACCCCCACCACTCCTCCCCCCCCTAGCCCACCCCCACCCTTCCTCCTCCCCCCCTAGCCCACCCCCACTCCTCCTCCTCCCCCCCCTAGCCCACCCCCACCCTTCCTCCTCCCCCCCTAGCCCACCCCCACTCCTCCTCCCCCCCTAGCCCACCCCCACTCCTCCTCCTCCTCCTCCCCTAGCCCACCCCCACTCCTCCTCCTCCCCCCCTAGCCCACCCCCACTCTTCCTCCTCCCCCCCTAGCCCACCCCCACTCCTCCTCCTCCCCCCCTAGCCCACCCCCACTCCTCCTCCTCCCCCGCTAGCCCACCCCCACTCCTCCCCCCCTAGCCCACCCCCACTCCTCCCCCCCTAGCCCACCCCCACTCCTCCTCCTCCCCCCCTAGCCCACCCCCACTCCTCCTCCTCCCCCCCTAGCCCACCCCCACTCCTCCTCCCCCCCTAGCCCACCCCCACTCCTCCTCCTCCCCCCCTAGCCCACCCCCACTCCTCCCCCGCTAGCCCACCCCCACTCCTCCTCCCCCCCTAGCCCACCCCCACTCCTCCTCCTCCCCCCCTAGCCCACCCCCACTCTTCCTCCTCCCCCCCCTAGCCCACCCTTCCTCCCCCCCCTAGCCCACTCCTCCTCCTCCCCCCCTAGCCCACCCCCACTCCTCCTCCCCCCCTAGCCCACCCCCACTCCTCCTCCCCCTCTAGCCCACCCCCACTCCTCCTCCTCCCCCCCTAGCCCACCCCCACTCCTCCTCCTCCCCCCCTAGCCCACCCCCACTCCTCCTCCTCCCCCCCTAGCCCACCCCCACTCCTCCCCCCCTAGCCCACCCCCACTCCTCCTCCCCCCCCCTAGCCCACCCCCACTCCTCCTCCTCCCCCGCTAGCCCACCCCCACTCCTCCTCCTCCCCCGCTAGCCCACCCTCCCCTCTCCTCTTCCTCCTCCTCCCATCCTCCTCCCCTCCCTCCCCCTGCTCCCGACGGCCCGCCACTGGCCCGGCGCAGCGTGTGGGACGTGAACGGAGGGCGGTTCGGTGCCTGGCCGTGGGCGGGATGGAGCGGCAGCCACGGGCAGCCACCACCCCGAACGATGCCAACGCCCAACGTGATGGAGCGGGAACTTTGTTTTGTTGAATTGTAATTAGAGGCGTGGCTGCGGTTTACGACGGCTCAGTTTAATGTTGTGTCGTTTTACGACGCCGTAACTAGACTTCAGAATTAAAGCTTTCGTGACTGCAGGGATTCACATTCTTGGTTCTTTCGGTAAAGTCACGTAGAAGGGAAACAATAAAATAATAAAATATAAAACAATTCAATTTAATTTTGATTTAAAGCTTTCGTGACTGCAGTAATTCATATTCTTAGCTCTTTCGGTAAAGTCACGTAGAAGGGAAACAAAAAATTAATAAGATATATAAAACAATAAAAATATATAGTTTTATATATCATTTATTATTTTATTGTTCCCCTTCAACGTGACTTTACCGAAAGAGCTAAGAATAACAATTCAATTATCACGACATTTCGACTGCAACACAAGCAATCATCATCAGGTGTGAAACCACAGCAAGAAATTTTGAAAAATAAAAGGCCACTTTTTTCAAAAAAATTTTGGTGAGATATTTGTGACGATGTATGACGAGGGGGGGAGCGGGGGTTTGAGAAATGTGACATCACATCAAAATGCGCAACTTTAAATAAATATTAATTAAATAGAATTGTTATAACAACACTAATTTTTATTAATTTTCATTATTAACTACAGTATTTGATTTTTTACTAAGGTCACCTTTTATTTATTCCATGAAGGAGCATTTTGCTTCTCCATGAGAGAATGGAGAAGCATAACTTTTGTAAAATTGTTATTAAACATTTTTATTCTACCAGGGCTTTCATTTCTGTGGAATGAATATGTGATTGTTATAATTGTACTCTCTCTATTTTGCTTCGTTCTACTGCAAAGTTTCAAGTTTTTTTATAGTTACAATTACTTTTAATGTTTTATAATTATAAGAAAATTTCAATATAATATTCTGAACATCTGCAGTTTTAGTTAGGCGTTGAATATTTTCAATTGAATTTTATGCTCAATTTAAGCTTTCCAACGCCTCCTTTTTAATCAATGTTTTCTCCTACAACATCAGAGTGCAGCGCCACAATGACAATAGTTTGAGGTGATTTGAAGCATTTCGATTTAAAGCTTTCGTGACTGCAAGGATTCATCTTCTTTGGTTCTTTCGGTAAAGTCACGTAGAAAGAGATTAAAATAATAAAATAAAACAATACAATTCTTACGATGTTTTGGCCACAAGACAAATGGCCTTCTTCCCGACAGGTTTGTTCCTTTCACCTGAAGAAGGCCACTTGTGTTGTGGCCGAAACGTCGTGAGAATTTTATTATTTTATTGTTTTATTTTATTCTCATTCTACGTGACTTTACCGAAAGAACCAAAGAAGATTTGAAGCATGTTTTATACAAAAAATTGGAATTATGTTTTTTTTTGGGGGGGATGGGGGGCAGAGCTTTGTGACGTCATATTTCAGCGGGGTCTGACTTTGTGTGACGCCGTGTGACGAGGGGGGGGGGGGGGAGTCAAAAATCGGCGAAAATCGTGTGACGTCATTTATGGACGGCCCCTAAGGGTAATTCTACTGTCGCGACCCAGTTCCAAAGGTTGTATGATGATGACGCTGATGATGACGGTCTTACGGTGCCGCTGCCACTGTGCAATGTGTTGTGTTGGAACGTGGCCGTTGGAAGACGGAGGAAGGAGTTGGGTACCTTTTGATTTGAAGCTTTCGTGACTGCAGTAATTCATATACTTAGTTCTTTCGGTAAAGTTACGTTGAAGGGATTGCAAACCGACACACCTGATGACGACCGTTTTTTGTTATGGTCGAAACGTCGTGAGAATTTTTTTTATTGTTTTATATATTTTTTTATTATTTTATTGTTTCCCTTCAACGTGACTTTACCGAAAGAGCTAAGAATATGAGTTGGGTACCGCCGCCAATTTATACGCAGGGTTGAAGGCTGAGGTTAGGGGTCGTCCATAAATGACGTCACGCGATTATGGACGATTTTTGACTCCCCCCCCCCTCGTCACACGGCGTCACAAAAAGTCAGACCCACCCTCAAATATGACGTCACAAAGCTCTGCCGCCCCCCCCCCCCCCCCCAAAAAAAACATATTTCCATTTTGAAAATAAAACATGCTTCAAATCGTTTACATTATGAGACCTCCTTTGCCAGAAACAAGATATAGGAATAGGTTTTACCCTTTTAACTGGCACAAAAACTGACACCTTTATTCAAGGCATCATGTTTTTTGTTTGCATTTTGACTGCTTGTGTTGTGGTTATTGCAAACATGATGCCTTGAATAAAGGTGTCAGTTTTTGTGCCAGTTAAAAGGGTAAAACCTATTCCTATATCTTGTTTCTGGCAAAGGAGGTCTCATAATGTAAATGCTCACCCCGAGCCCTCAATACTCTGATAGTGCGCTGTTTTTGAGTTGTACGCCTTTTGGCGTCTTCTGGTCCAACACCAGTGGAGACTAGGCTCTAAGAACAGCTGTCTCGGGTGTGGACCAATCAAATTCAAGGACAGTGCATATTATTATCAGTGTTGTCTTTTTTGTTTGCATTTTGACTGCTTGTGTTGTGGTTATTGCAAACATGATGCCTTGAATAAAGGTGTCAGTTTTTGTGCCAGTTAAAAGGGTAAAACCTATTCCTATATGCTTCAAATCGCTTTAAACTATTGTCATTGTAGTGCGTATTTAATGTGACGCTGCACTCTGATGTTGTAGGAGTGTTGTTATACCAATTAGTGTTGTAATGACAATTCTATATTTATTTAAAGTTGCGCATTTTGATGTGACGTCACATTTCTCAACCCCCCCCCCCCCCTCGTCACACATCGTCACAAATATCTGACCTCCCCCACCTCCCCTAGGTGCGTGACGTCATTTATGGACGGCCCCTTAGCTATGAAATACCGCCGATGCGGCGGTAAGGAGTTTTGTTTTAAACGCCCAGGATCCAATTTCCGTCCAATCGCGATAAGTCTGTGAGCAGGAGGGAGACGGAAACGTCATCTTTTGGAGGGTGGAACCGCATTATAATCACTCAGTGGAGAGTAGGACTCTAGAGGAACCTATAGCCAAAGGGACCGTGAGTAGCACGAGTTTGCAAGCGCTGGCCCTTGGATATGCACATTTTTTAGATCGTATGGGAGTTTGGGCACATTCTTCAACTTTTTCCGCATCGCAATATGTTCGGAAGCTAAATTCAAATGTCGCGAGGTCTGTTCGCTTCAGGAGAGAGTTTGTGTAGTTTTGCTGCTCCATCCCCGTTGAAGGATTGCAGACTAGGGCTGAACGATTAATCGATTTCAAATCGAAATCGCAATTTGAAACAATGCGATTAGCAAATCGCAAAGGCTGCGAATTTTTGCGATTTGAAAAGTCCTATTACTTATTGGAATTGTTTTATACTGGTAGGAACGAAGTTGTAAACTGAGTGTACCAGCCTGCAATAGATTAATGTGTCCGTCCGTCCCCTTTCAATACTTTAACGAAGTGAAATCTCGTGCTGTTGGGTGTAAAATCAGCAATAGACAGCGCAGAGACTTGTCCTACCAGCCCACCCTGCAGGGACCTGTTTTATTTAACTTAATTGTTCTGTGTTTGATTGTTCTATTTCAATTATTTTTTTAATAAATACATCATGGAAGCAATTCATATCTTTTAAGTTATCATCCTTGCATTAGAATATATAGAACAGTTAATAGTTTGATGGTATCACGTGGTAATCCTCCATCACATGTTTAAATCTATTACGCAGTGAATATTGAACTGAAGCTTGACTTAAGATATTTTAATCGCAAATCAAATTGCA